GATGACAGAATAAATTTCAAGTGACGTATTACTTACGATAGGCTACGGGTGTAATCCATTAAAATAATTCGTTATTAATAATCATTCCTAATTTTCTAGAAGTTTCGAATATTTGATTCGAGCAACTTTTTGAATATCTGGTTTTAAGTATAAAATATCTTACACTTTTGCATTGATTAAAAATATTTACCTTGCATCGAGGATTGGATATCTCTTAAGTAGTCACTGCAAATAAATACTCTCTTTGAGATATTAGAAAAGCACTTTCATTGTTCAATCTTTCTTATCTTATTCGAAGGATTTCAGTGTTTAGAGATAGTTACAAATTTGATAAATGCATTGGAAGCTTTTAAACAATATCTTATGAAACAGTATTTCTATGTGCAGCTAATGCGTGGTGCCGTAGACAATTTCGCTCCATTTGTCAAATAATTAGGAAGACAAACAGAATCCCTAGAGCTTAGCAATACAGCACTTATAAGTCTTTCCCAATCTTCCGCACTACAGGCAGGCTCAACGAAGTGGAGATGATAGCAGATAAATGATATCTCAGATGAAGGTGACATAGACAGAAGAGAGGAGAAGAGGTCAATAGATGAACATTGATCATAAATGTTCTGTCTTGTGAGACAGCTTTCCAGACGAAGAGATTAATTAATGGAAGTGAGAAAAGTTTTGAAGCATCCCGCAAACGTACGTACTAATCCTGTAGAACGGATTTAAAAATACAATAGAAAATGAATTTCCAGAAACTTAACGTACAAGTTAAAAAAAAAAAAAAAAAAAAAAAAAAAAAAAAAAAAAAAAAACGGTTTAAGTGCATGGTCGTTCTTTTAGAGAAGGAACCTTATTATTTTGAGTATATGTAGCTGTTGTTTGAAACTGTATTCGCGTTATGGGAAATTATCTTACATTTATGCACATTTATACATTTATTGTTATAAATGTATGCGGAAATGTTTACACATTGTACACATTTCTTTGCATTATTAATTGTGAATTCGCGTAGATCTGTTTTGTGGTTGGTAGGAGCAATTTAGTTTTGATTTAGGTCTCGTTTTAATCTTAGACATGTCTGTAACTGCGAAATTAAAAAGATGAGTTAAAATTGATCGCTCAGGAATTAGGCTTAATCATTTTTTCGTAAGGCGTAAAACGTGTTGATCTAAAGGAAATTTACACTGAGTAAGTATGTTTTCAAAAGTGATAATGAAATTAAAAATGAAGTCAATATACGTTTGAAAGAAAAAAAGGGAAATAATAATAAAAAAAGATATGAATTATCAGAACTGAAGAAAAAAATGGAAAACGAAGAAAACCCAACGATCACAATTTAAAAAAAACACTTTGAAAAAGGTCGTTTCAAAATACTTTATGTTAAAGTTAAGAAAAAAATTCTTAAAGCACAGGTTAGAATACTTAATTAACAATGTTAAAACATTAATAACCTTAACGGTACATTTTTTATGGCAAAGTCATTTGATCATTTTTTCCCTGATCCTCAACAAAGGTTTTCAAAAATAAAAATATGTCCAATGAATTAAAATCGGACATTTCTTTGTGTATACTTGGAAACAAAGCGAGTAATTGAATTATTATATGTCTGGCGAAGACTTACAGTTAGTCAATAAAGTCTGCGTACATCAAGAAAAGTAATATCAAATCCAAATTTTAAGGTGCGAAAGAGTAGTTTCTTAAAGTTTTATTTTTTAAATATTTAGTTTCAATAAGGGACTTTGAAATTATTTAACTGTAATATTTTCATATCTAATAATTTATGCACACTAATTTTTAAAAGGTAAGTGGACAGAAATCAAAGTCAATAAAATTTGCGTACAACGCGAAGGAGGCGGGGGATTTCTTATCTAACTTTTAAACTTCAAACTTGAGAATGCAAAAAAGGTTACACTTTCAAGGTCCTTGACTTCCGAAGCAAATTTCACGTTAATTGGAAGTTGTTATTTCTATTTTCTTTGACGAAAATGACAACCAATAAAGGAATTCCTTTAGTTACGAGACAACTAATTATCAAATTGAGAGATGAATGTAAAACTCTTCGTCATATTGGTAAAACCATTGGAAAAACATTTTCTACTGTGCAAAGAGTTATTCAAAACTATCTTGACACTGGTAGTCTTGCTGTAAAACCGAGATGTTGGAGACCGAAGAAGCTAACGCAGAGAGAAGAAAGAAAATTTTTTTACAAATTAAACAAAATCCTAAACTTTCTGCTGCAAACATTGCAAAAGACATTTTGTTAACTAGAAACAGGGAAATTTCTCCTGAAACTGTAAGAAAAGTGCTGCGAAAGGCCGATTATCATTGACGCAAACCTAGGTCTAAGCCATACATTTCCGGGACAAATAGAAAGAAAAGAATTGCTTTGGCCAAAGCATATTTAAACTCTTCGCAGGACTTCTAAAACTATGTAATTTAGTCAGATGAAAGTAAATTTACAATATTTAAAGTTAATGGCCACCCTATTGTATGGAGAAAACCAGGAACAGAACTGAATCTGAGATATTTAAATCCAACTGTCAAACATGGAGCTGGCGGTGTGATGGTATGGGGGTGTATGTCGTCGAAAGGAGTTGGAAATTTTCACATTAATGATAAAGTCATGGATAAGTATGTTTATCTGGATATTATAAAGAAACATCTTTGAGATAGTGCCCGAAATTTAAACCTTTCTAATATCTTTATTTTCCAACAAGACAACGACCCGAAACATACAGCTAAAAGTGTGAAGAAATATCTCCTCTATCACACTCCAAAACAGTTGCGTACTCCTCCACAGTCACCAGACCTCAATCCAATCAAACATTTGTGGGCAAAATTGGAGAAACGAATTCGAAAACACAATATTACGTCGGGAAATGAGCTAATTAGTAAATTGCAGGAAGAATGGGCGAAATTTACGTCGGATGACACTGAAAAACTAGTTCAGTCAATGCCCAGACGTCTGCAAGCTGTTTTGAAGAATAAAGGATATCCTACAAAGTATTGAAGTAATGTAAAAAATTTATATTTTGCTTTTTTTTAAGTGCACGCAGACTTATTGGAGGGAATTTTTGAGTTTTTTTGACAAAATACATTTTTGAAAAAATGTAGACAGTATTACACTGATATTATTTACTTTTTATTTAAGCTTACAATTTTAGCTAATAGAAGAAAAAAAATGCAATGATTAAAATACATGTTTCTATGCTTTAAGTGTTTTTTTAATTTAAAATTCAGTCTGTACGCAGACTTTTGTGACTAACTGTATGTGGTTACGTTAAAACTAAAGCACATACTTTAAAAGAGCTCCAGCCAACGTAGCAAAGGTTTTTCGGTGAAAGTTACTTTTCGAGCACAAGCTGGCGAATTTGGCGAAATCTTTCAAAATGATCACCAAAACTATCGATATTTATTATAAGTCGACAAACATAATCAACATAAAACAACAAATTTTGGATGTTAATTAAGTATTATTGATACAATAAAAATAAAAACACTCGCTGTCTTCGAGAAATAATTTTGCAATATGTTTTGGTCTGTTGCTTTTATATATACAACGATCTACGTTCTCTAAAAAAAAAAAAAAAAAAAGCTTCAGGTAATTGCACAAACTCGCGATCGCGGACAACTTCTATATTAAGCATTTACCTTTCTCAAAAAAACCATCTGAAATCGGCATTGTCCACTGGCCATGATCACTGCGCCGCCCAAGAATAATTGAGATTTCAACAGCCACTCCAGTTGTAATGGAAAAAAAAAGAATTCTGCTTCCATATTTTAATAACAACAAATCGCAATCAAAAAACGTAGATAGTATGACTAAGAGAGACACAGTTCCACTAGTTCGGGTTAGGAGGGGGAAGATGCGAAAATATTATTATTATCTAACAATGAAAATACGTTTAGTAGACTAACATTCATATCCAATAAAAACATCGCGAAATTTGGTACGTACCCAGACGGGTAATCCGCGATACTTCACTTTAGTCAGTGATTGTTTCAAAAAGTTTTGAAAAATTTGTCATTCACAGAATTGTATAAAATTTATGTCAAGATTTAGTGCCCCATTTGAATATTATTGTATGCTGTGTAAAGCGAGTGATTTTAAAGCCTTTAAGCGAGTTAATTGTGTCGGACGAAATCTTCGCTTCATTTGATCGTGAATTTTTAATGATATGTAATACTTTGGATTATCAGTCATTTAATTTTATTAATGTTAATTTTATTAACCGTGCAGATTTAGAGTATTTGCTTTAAGTTGATTTTTTCAGCTGTAATTGTTTACTTTAAATTTGGTAATATTTACCTTATTATTCTTCAAAGCTGAAGTTTGGTTTTAACTTTTTAATTTTTGCTTGAAAACCTTAATTAAGTTTTAATTGGTTTTATTATTGTGTTTTGTTTGTAGTTGTTTGGTTTGACTCTTGTTATTTAATTGTTATTGTTTATGTGCTGAACAAAGTACCTCTCAGACGACTGAAATAGATGAGCTAAAACTTCGGGATTGCCCAGATGGACAAAGGAGGGAAGAGCTTCACCTCTGGCACTACATAAAACTTAAATTTAATTACTTCTTCCTTTTTTCCCTTCGTTTATATGTGATGTTGTCTACTGGAAACTAAGCGGAAGGATGGAAGAATTGTGTTTCCCTTTATGATTTGTCACAACCTCTTTCACCTCAACCCGTTTAGCTTCCCTGTAACTTTGGAAAAATGTATTTTTTACTCAAATCTCTATAGCTGCTAGGTGATGAACACTGAGGTGTTTAATTATGCTAATTGACTTAAGTTTATGTTGAATAACATGGTGCTCTTAATTTTTACCGGTGACAGCCGGGTTATTATATTTACCATAATACGCGTTACTTGTTGTTGGGTAGAGGAGAGCGAACGTTTTTTCTTATGCGCATGCGTATTAATTATGATGGCGCAGTTGTCTCTTCTACCGACACATCCGTTATTCGAGCTTCGAGCGTAGGGAGATGCTGATATGTTATTTGCTGTGTGATGCTCAATATTATTTCCTGTGTGATATTTTTATTCATTATTCATGTAAATAAAGTGTGTTGTCCTACGATGGCTTCTTTGCTGTAAATATTGGCCTCTGAACAACACTTGTACTGACGATAAAGATTTTGTGAGAAAATGGTTGGTATTATTGTGTCTCCGGTGTAGACCGGAATACCTAAATTTTTATTTATAATATTTTAATAGGAATTTTGTAATCTTACAGCCATTTGTGCTCAATTTATATTTTCGAAGTTTTGTATGGACCTACAATCCAAGGTATTTTAAAACAAGGTATGTTGTAACTTAGCTTCTTCTGTACTAAATTTTTTATCTGCCGCTTGCTCCAGATCTTAAATTTACATAATAAATATTTAATTTTTCTTTCACAACGCAAATAATTTGCCTGTACTTTATGTTACTGCTTTTAGTAGTTACATATATATATTTATTTATTTATTTATTTATAGAAAGAGAAAGATACTCATTATACCCACATTTTCCATGCACAATATGTATAGTATTATGAAAACTGTTACACCAGAATTTTGTTCATTGAGTAAATTATTACATTTATTGACTTATTACATTTACTATGGCACTAGTAACATTTTTATACAAGATTAAACCGCAAAGCTAAAAATATTTTATTTTGTGCAGTGTGTTGCCACTGCTCGCTTTGAAATCGTTGACTTTCTTAATAAAAAATTCGTTAACGTTTAAAAAGTATAAAATAGATAATGAAACATTATAAATTCAAGATTCGGGCATCCAGGTGCCCAAATTCGGATGAAGGAATACATTATTCAAAATTTGATGCCTATAGGTATCGTTGTTTTTCACAATGCGAGAAAAATGCAGATGTACATTCATGCAGATGTTTTAGCAAAAAATGTTTTATCGAGTACCGCTCGATAAAACATTTGTTTTCTTTTAGAAAAGCCCTATCAGTGGTAGTAAGTAAGATATGTGATCAACATTCGGTCCACAGATTATTAAATTAGTACAAGAATGTGAATCATTTGGGAATGATAAGTGAAAAAGTAAATACCTGAATTCTGTCAAACAGAGAGAAAGTCACATCACGTGTAAAAATTAAAATTAAGGAAATATAGCCTTTTTGACGTGTTTTGTAAATAACCTGCAAAATTCTTTTTGCTTTTGAAAGACAGAGACTTGTGCTTGTCCTCGAAATCAATAGTTTTATTTATTATCCAGGCTTAAATAAGTATGCGATTTTGGCTAATTATAAATTTAATTCTCTTTTTGAATTACTCGTCGATGATAGTTAACGGTTGTGTGTTACAACGACTCTTTTTAAAACAATTATAGATCTTATTCTCCGTCAAGTTCTCGATGGGCATAATGAAGAAAACGTAGTTGAATAACAACAGATCACAGAAAGAACTTTGGGAAGAAAAATCGATATATACTAAGATACTGATAAGAAGAATTTTGTCAAGGTAGGCTTATTGGTATCTTTGAAAGCAATGACTCACAAATATATATTTTGCCCATGCCAGAATAAAAATATCTGGATGGTAAGTGAATAATTCGAAATTATTTTTTTACACTTAAATTTCATATTTGTGAATTTTCATTGATTATGATACCTTGTTGCATAACATATTTTTTAAATGCTAAATTTGAATCATATGTTTTTGAATTTTTAGTGTGTTTTAATTTTGTATGGGATGAATTTCAGATAGAGTGACTGAATGTTGTTAAAGGATTGCAATGCTACGAGATATAGTTATAACTGATAAAGCAAATGTAGAGTTTCTGAGTTTCGATTCATTAATTAATGGCATGGGATATGTTGGCCGATGTCAGCTGTAAAAACAAGCGAATGGTTCTGAGTGTAAAGGGAAGAAATTCGGGTAGTGAAAAATAAAGTGTATTTTAGCGCTTCGGTGTCATGAGGAATTTAGTGTTAAGAGACTGTACAATTTGTATATCTGGTACATTATTTAAAAAGCGAGAATTTTTAAATCTAACTTGTGGACGCGTATTAGAAGTGTATATTTCGTGCATAACAGTATTGATTTTGTAACTTTGAATCGAGAGATGCTTAAATTGTGAAGACAGCTCAGTTAGAAACTAAGATATACGCAGAAACTCTCCTACCAGATAAATTTAACGATAATTTTTACTGCCAAATTGACAACATACGACGCTAGTTTGGCAACAATTTAGAAGTTTGCGAATAATGCAGTTTCGAAGTTTTAAAAGCATTTTTTCCGAAACTTCCAGAAATGCAAGACAATTCGATATATGGGGCTGCATTTGAAACAGAGGTTGAGTTAATTTAGTGATTTTAGTTGCTCAATTCAAAATTAGGAGACTTTTTTCTGTGTGAGTTTGCTAAATCTGCAATAGGCTTGCATTTCAAGAATATTTTGCTATATACGAGCAAAATATTCTTGAAATTTTTTATTTTATTTTACTTGTATTTTACTTGAGCTGCTTACAGCTGTTTAGTTTATGAGAGTTATTCTTTATTTCAATAAAGTGTAAATTTCTTCCAATTCATCTAGTGTAGATACTAAAGACATCTCTAGGAATCTTCAAAAAGAAACAATGTTTTATTCGAATAAAGTTTCAGAATCTCTTATTAAGAATTAAAAAATAAGGTTAATTAGCTCTCTGGTTTGTAAGAAATTTCTAATTATTACCGTGATAACCATTTCTATGTTATCATACTTCATATTTCTATTAATTTGCTAAAAATTAATTTCTGATGCTTTATTCTGAATGAATTTGATTATATTGCTGCTTTGTAACGGATTATTCTCCTTTCTTACTGCACGTGAACGTGGTGCAATTGGAAATCACGTCCGTCTAGCAATCGAAAGTTCCGGAGTTCGGGTTCCCGTGAGCGTATAGCTGATTTTTCAAGTTTCCTGTTCCGATGTAACCTTAAAGACCCTAACGCGTAAGAGATTACTGCATTTTTATATGTTGATGCATTGCGAAATAGCTTAAAAATATGGTTCACAGGAACAGCGAGATTGAATACTTCGAACATAATATTTGTAGAGTTCAGTAGATTTCACTTTTGTGTGAAAACTGGAATAATGTAACTGCAAAAGACAAGGGTTAAAAGTACTCTTTATTAACTCTTTAAAATTTACAATGCATTAACTCGACGCTTGGAAACTACGCCTCTACTTGGGAGGTAAATGAAATCAGATAACAAAATAAAAGTTTGAAGATATGAACAAATGATAGAACACTATAGGGTTCAGCTAGATCCCATCAAAGGGCTCTCATTAAAGTTCTTTAGTTATATGCTGATTCGATCAAAGCGTACAATCCACAACTTTCTGCGGCAGAGGATAAAAAGTCGCGTGTCTTTTTTATAATGTTAATGCCATAATGGTGGTTTGTCCGAAGTAGGCAGATATATAATAGAGTTTTTGAGATTTATTCTCGCAGAAATCATGAAAACCTAACCAGTGCGACTGAGATTGTGCCAGTGAGAACTGGCATAATATACAGGGTGTATCAGTACAACGGTGACAAACTTTCAGGAAATATGGAGTACACCTATACGATGGGAAATCACATAGCAATGCATGGTCGGAAACGGTTTCCTGGCGTGGTAGTAACGACACAAAACGAAAAAAAGGAAGGACACAAACAGTGAGACAAGCGCATGTTTTATTATGTTTAGTACAGCAGAAACCTATAAATAAGAACAAAAACAAACAACGATCGCCATTAAAGAAGGTTATTATTCAAAAGAAACGACCCAGGACCGTGATGCAGGTCTTATTTCTCTGGCGCATAGAAGATCTGCATCGCGAATGGAAGATGCATGACGCACGGTTCCTGCATCACAATCCGCGTCGTAATTTTGAACACCTTTGATAATGGTTTTGTCTCTTTATATTGTTTTTGCTTTGTATTTGTTGTACTCTGAACAATAAATATGTTTTCTCATCCCGTTCGTGTCTTTTCTTTCTTGACTTTTGTGTAGTCACTACCGTGCTAAAGCGTTTCCGAACATGCATTACTAATGATTTCTAATCGTCTAGGTGTACTCTATTTCTCCTGAAAGTTTGTCGCCGCCATCCTGATATACCCTGTATATAGTAAAATTGTCAAAAAGCTGGCCTAAAATATATAACACAGTATACTCGCAAAATGAAGGCATTTGAGAAGATTCTGCAAAAAACCAGCCATATATTGACATGAAAGGAAGTGGATGGTAAAATGAACGAAAATTAGTTTATAGGACGAAATGTAAAATTTTATCGAATCTGAATCCTGAAAGATACATATTTGTCTAGTCATGTATTCATATCAAGAAACGTAAGAAACACTTTTTAATATAAAAGTGATTTCTTAAAGCAAAATTTGAAATCTGCCATTTTTGAAAAACAATTTTGAGAATACAGTTTTCAAAAAATGCGCTTGTGTTTAAGCAGCTTCAAATAAAACATAATAACGGAAATAAGTAAAAATTCATTTCCTCAATATAATGTAACAAATAATATTTGAATAGCAGTTTTTTCTTGCTTATTCCCATAGATATTTCCCACTGTTCAAGAAAGCTTTTTAAATCAATACAAGTGCAAAATCGGGAGAATTACTTCAAGCGTTAACAGAGATAAAAATTAAACATGGAACGTTGAGTTCTGCCTATAAATTAAAAGTGAGGCATTTAGAGCCGAAGCGATATAGTAGTGGCGACAGAAATCTATTGAAATTGTTAGAATGACGTTCATTTTTAATGAATGCTTCTGATGAACATCAATAAACTTAATCTTTCTAAAATGTTGAAATAAAAATGCTTAAAAGATTTTTTAAGTTACGGTTCGAGAGTTTAGAATGGCGTAAAAACCGAGAGAATTCGAGTTTTCAATTCTCGAATCTTTTTCCAGATTTCTGGAATTTGAAGATTCGAATACCACATCCCTAAAAAAAGCACCTGAAGTATCAAGTTCTTAAAAGCTTGAGGGATAATAAAGTTTAAATATTGAAATCATAAACCAAGATAGATAGATTTCTAGAGCTATCGAAAAAAATATTTATTCACTTCATAGAACATTTTGAATAAATTTGTGGAATGAAAATACGAAATTATATTTTTTTTCCCATCAACAATAATAAGCTTTACGTTATGAGCTATATATTTTATTAAAAGATAGATTAAAAGAAAAAGATAAGCCTATATAAAAAGCATGCAATTTTGTATCTAATCTTCCGAAATCGATTGCTACAAAAGTCTGGTTTAAAAAAAAAATCTAAAAGTTTTCAGATTTTAAATTGTGTCCAAAGGGGCGTTTTTTTAACTTTTTGTGTGTTACCTTTGCTTATTAAATATCATGTTCTTTGCACTTAAACCATAAAATTCAGTTCGATAGCAATGTCGCAAATAATTTTAAATGAGCCAATCTTTAGAATTTCCAATACACAGTTCCGCACGCTTTAGGTAAAGAGGTTCTTTCCCCCGTAGAGTGTTACCATTGCTCGCTTTTAAATCGATGAGCTTGTTGCTCAAAAATTTATTAAAGTTTTACAAAATATGAAATCGATAATAAAACAAATTCCAAATTTCAGATTGGATCTTCCACATGTCCATATTCGTAGGAGGATTACGCCATTCGGTGGCAACAGTTTGAAAAGTGAAACGGACATTTATAGTGAACCAACGCAAAATCGCAAAACGAAAACAATAGTCCTTCAGGGACAAAGCCCCTTTGGACTAAAAATGCTTAACAGATTTTACAGTAATGTTGGATGAAGAACCTCGGCTAATTTCAGGTCCGTTTTGAACATTTTCAAAACGGACTTCAAGAAAAGAGCCTTGAGTGGAAGACAAATGAAGGTTTAACCATGGGATAAACGAAGACTTAGTTATTATAATGGGTAGTAATATGCATTTTGAAACAAGATTCATAAATTATCTAAAGAACGTTACGCTTGATAGGAACATTATGCTTTGAGTATCCTGTAGCCATAAATATTTAGAACATTTTCTCTAGTTGTTCAAATAATGCTACCTGAAGGCTTCCTATAACCCTCAAAGCCTTTCTGTTTAAGTTAAACATCCGAATTCTAAATTGTATTAGCTTGTACTGCTATTATTATTTTAATCTATTAGTTTTTACGATTTAGACCTTTACTGCCATTCCTTCGTTCATTTCCAAGTCGGAATGCAAATTTGTTGCTAATATTTAAACTGAGATTTTCAGATTGTAAGACAGAGCATGTTCTGCCTCTCGAGGTCACGTTGCTAAGTTGCTACTACCTCAGATAAAATTTGTAGTCTTCGGTCTTGCATTATAACTGCCGATATTAGAATATCTCAGCCGGTAATGTTGTGAGCCAACTTTGCATTAAATTCAATTGTATAGTCTTTGACTGCAAGCTTATTTGAAATTTGAATTTACTGTTATTTAAGTTATCTTTTCATAAGGGCTGGCTGAGTTGTAAGCCTTAGGTGTGCCTTATGATCTTCTTTAGTTTTAATCAAAGGGTCTTTTTCACCATTTTCAAACTTCAGTTGTTACTTAGAAATAATTCGCTGTCA